GCTTTCCATTAATATGAAATGAAATGTCTGAGAACTGCACCCTGCAGCTGAATTTTGCAAGTGATAATCAATCATGACGTTAATTAGAAAATATTCCAACACAAGTGGACTCTGGTCCTCAGTCCCTCTGGCCACCTCCATTTGGAAAAGAACTCCTCTCTCTGGTCATCCCTTTGGGAGAGACATTTTCCATAATGTCATAAACCATTATAAATGCCCCAAAATTATTATAAACTGAACAGAAGTGTCTTAATTGTGAGACATTATAACAAAGTAGCCAAATTTATGATGTAAATATGTGAACTTGATCTGGAAGAGATGTGACAGATAGGAAGGCTTAAACTGGGAGAGGGATAATACATTTTAAGCAGTGGGAATAAGAAAGAGTTTGAGAGTCTTGACCTCAGGCGTCACTTTAAGCAGGTCTGGATACAGTCTTAACTTTGCATTAACATTCACGATTTGTATCATCTTTCTACATTGTCTCTCTCATTAAACCCTGATTTGCCTCTAATTGGAAGTAAATGGCTGGCAGTTCAGTGCTAATCACTGTAATTGTGGTCTCATTTGGTGTGCTTGATAACTGGCCTGCTCTGACTTCATCAAATGCAGAGGAGAGGTTGAGTTATATTCAGCCAGTCGACCATGTGTATGTGTGTGTTTTTAAAATTAATATTGATTTAAAGTAGGGCACAATTCATGCGTTTTACAACACCCTGTCAGACAGATTCAGAGGGCATCGCAGAAACGCTGTTACAGTGCTGCAGTGGCCCTAAATTCAATTACTTGAATTGGCCTTGCGTTTGTATGTTGAGTTGCTTGATTTGAATTTGTTATTTTTTTCTCCCGAGTAAATCTGTAAGTAAACCTACACAACAGATTTGAGGAAGTGCCTTGCTGCGTTGCTCTGTGTGACGGTAATGAGAATTGGCATCTTTATTTTGGATCCTGTGAGAACCCAACGGTTACCCCTCATTGCATGACTGAAGGACACAAAAGTTTGTTCTAAAATAAGGGACTGATCTTTGTGTTTGACTGTCTGTTTGCGTTCTGTTTCTTTCATGTCACATAGAGCCAGAGAGATGGGCTGACTCTATGCAAAGCAGGGTGTTAGTTGCGAGTCCGCATGGATAAATTTAGCTTCTTCGTGTCACCTCACTGTCTCCGATATAGACATAAATTCGCTGGCTGAGTTTGGGATTCAGGCCATTGTGGTTTCTAGGTTG